CTTTACACACGTAAGCTGGCGATTAGGGGTCACGTCGAATACCGTCCAAAGGCACTACCAAATCGATCGATCGATCGTCACAATGCAAAATTAAATAATAATTAATTTATAATAAACAGTTACGAATTACGAAGAAGAGCGAAGCAGCCTACAGGTCGCTTCTCTCTCCTTCGGTTACCTTCTTGCTTGGTCGAAGAAAGAAATCCGAAACAACCGTGAGAAAGACAACAATTCCGCGGACAGTCAGTCGCCAGTGACCGATGACCGATGACAATGGCGATCGATCGATCGACGATGAATGGACAACGGACAAACGGATGGATGGGCGATGGTCACAAACCGACGACGGTTCTACCTCGATAGCGGTCGCTGACCTTGGCGGCCGCAGCCGGGGACGCGACAACCGACGACTGGCGGTTGCGTGCTGCCGGCCTAAGCGCGACTCTGAATGGTAGGTCGTCGGGGAGGCGACCAGCGCACAGCCATGACATGAATCACTCGTATTAGACAGACAGGCATTCGGTCAGGACAGGCAAGGAGTACAGTGCAATGTCGACAACGTCGTGGAGGCAAACGACCGGTTTCGGTTTCGGTTTCGGCTTCGGCTTCCTACTCTGATGAGACAGGCATTTATATAAAAAAACGCGCCGCCACGGACGACATAAACAAACTACCGAACTGTCGTCCACAGCTGCGCCGATACGCACTCGTGGTCACTACGTGGTCACTACATGGTCACTCGATCCGGCCTCACTTCGACAGAACTTTTGATGACAACAGTGACACATTTTGGCACATGCTGTCTGGCCGTCCGGTACGACCTTGATTTCGATGCTAAGGACCGCTCCGTTTCGATGCTACTCCGACAGTCATAACTCACTTCCTCTCTACCCGAACGTCGTAAACACAACCTGGGAAATACGCCGTAACTAACACGTAAAAAAGTTACCCACCATGCATGTAGACCGTCAAGGTCGGTCCTTACTGGCCTTAGTTCTTACTTGATAATCAATAACGAAAAGCGGCCACTACGGTAGCTAGAAAACTACCAGTTACCTAAACCTTGGATCCAGTCAATTATAGTTAGGAGACCTGCAACCATTCAGTTCAATTGTACGGCCCACATGCACTTTGACATCCTCTATAACTTTCACTGACAAACTAATGGTTCTGCAGAGGTTTAGGACTGGCTGGCTGTCAGACATGTTTATCGTCATGGAACATGCAGCATCAGCAAATTTTCGCTTGGGTAGTAGTAGTCGTAAGCAACACTAAGCGTATACGACAAAACTTTTTATAACGTACATGAGCGATTGGCTAATATCTCGCTCTCTGATAGGGGTACGAAACTGTATCCTTTATGTTCCAGTCTATGGGCATGCCATAAACGCAAGTCGGGCCCCTCTTCCATTCTGTTCTTTCGGTGAACCTTTTAGGCGACTGGTTGTTCAGTGGTCCATTCGGGCTGTCATTCCTCGTGAGCCATATCATACGTCTCCTCAACCTTCATTCAATCCGACAGATTGACGCTTTTATGAGGTATTCGTCACAGGCGTTCAACACTGGTATGTAGAAGACAGTTCAATTTCATTCAAATCGAAGAAGCATTTCCTTCCCCACCGTCGCGTATTTCATAAGCAGGATGAGCAAAGCTATATGCAGATGCGTAATTCCAGTTTCAGGGCACATGGCTGTTTTTCGCGGTTCACGTGTCTTCAAGCGATACTAGTCTGCTACGGTTTGAAGAGCAATAATCTGCATTTGCATTCCTGCCGTGCACGAGTTCAGGTTTTACCATCTTCTCGTTCCTGTGCATTTTTCAAACTTCACTTTTATAAAGGTGACCAACGATGGTGTTGCTCAATTTTCGGTGGACGAGGCATACGCGTAATTGAGCCAGGAAACTCCTAACAAATTCTTCACTGCTGTCTTCTCTAACTACAATGAATTCACAATCTTGTTTGTTACTCTTCCAGTAAAGTAAACTCGTTCTGCGACCGTCTGACGTGTTTTTTAGTCTCCTTTCTTTGATGTTGACTTACGTCCCTATTGTGATCTTTCATACGTTCCGTGCTGGAATGCTAAAGTTGGCGATGATAGTCACTGACGCCTTCATCTATGTCAAGCTTGCACATAATGCCCAAAGGATGGCCAATTTTATTTTGCTAACATGTAGGAAACATAGACAGAACCACAAAATAATCAGTCCTACTGAAGAAAGCATGATCGAAATCAGATCATTTCTAGAAATCATTTATATGAGAGGTACAGACTCGTAAAGTGAATTGAACACTGTTCTTTCATGAGAGACTAGTTCCATGGTCTCTGTGTTTCTTATAGGACTGCTCTACACATACATTATGTTAGAGAAATTACCGACGTTTCGAGTCATGCAGGACCTGTTGCCACGATACGGGATATGAGCAACATGGTCGAAATCTGTCTCCATGCTATGCCAGATGAAAGGTGCTGAAGATCACGTTTTTTGCACAGAAGACTGCCAAAAACCTCGGTCTACTGTCTGTTTTTAGAACCACTGAATCGTCACTTTTACTGAAGGAAAAGAATGCGAGCCAATTTTGAAAAGGGCAAGTGACCTGCAGTAAAAGGAAAAGGCTATAATTGAAAGTTCCACTGTCGCTCCACTTCGAAAATATGGCCCGACTGGAATAGCTTTAAACCCATGAATGATGAATGGATAGAAGTGACTTATGACCATAAAAATTTCGAACGTTTTCCTTTTGTTCGTTTATTAATGATGTAAAATCCATTATGATTCTCAACGACTTGCCAGTTTTAAAAATATAACAATACGGAATAGATTCGACTGATAGGCTTTACTGATCATAGAGAATGACAACATCAAGTATGTACGCTGCTGTACGATTCTTTGCAAAGTTTGAAGAAAAGTAATATATACAAATTGCCATTTCAATTGTTCTAGACACAATGAAACAGGCTACCGACGCTTAAGCCAAGCTTCATCGATCATTACACTTTAACCGAAAATCATTTCATTGTACAGAGGGAGTGCTTCATGCTACCACAAGATATAAATCAAAAACATAAACAATATTTAAAAAATTACTTAATAAGAATATATAACAAAATACAACCCAGATGATCTTGGGTAGCTACCACGAATGGCAGCTTTCCGATCCCGCTCGTAAGCGTTAATTTCCAATACCGAAGCCGGATTCACAGGCGAAAACGTTCCGTGCAAGTCCAGTATTAGGAGCTTAAATATGATTATGCCAGAAACTGCTACTTCAGTGGTTCTAAACAACGAAACTGAAGGAGGGTAGTCTTTACCATAGCGACTGTTTGTCCTGAGGATGGCTAATAAAGTTTGGCTGAAAT